TTATTTTTTTTTTTTCTCAAAGAGGGGGTGTTTGTGGAGAAGGGGGGGGGGGGGGCCTTGCATGGGGGATAATTCCCCTTCAGATTTTGCCTTCATTTGTGATTGACCTGTAAAAAAAAATCAACCCTCGCCCCATAGTTTGAGCTGTGTTTTTTTTAAAAAACTTTTCAAATTCCCTAATGTGCAAAAGGGGGTTTCCCCTTTCCCCCCCGGGGAAACTAAATTTCAAAGTTTAAACCACCCACTTCTTTTAGACTGACGGGGGTCCAAAAGCGCCTTCCAATCCCTGTTATCCAATTCAAGAAAAAGGTTGTTGGGGGGGGGGGGGGGGCGGGGCGGGCATCTGTATACTTTTGTGAAGAAACCTTTGGTTTTAAATTTGCCGGAAAACCTCACTTAAGGGTGATTTGATTGAGCTCTGGTTATTGAAAACGAGACAAAATATAACGTATCAGGTCAAAGATTGTACGATATTTGATAATTAATATAGTCTAACTATTTTCCATTTTGTAAGTGATTATACGAAGTCAAACCGACTGTAACAAAGAAATAAAGTAAAATACTAATCGCTGCTCCCCGGCGAAGCCCATTCATTTACCTCTACCCCTCCTCCCCCAACCAAGGCTCCCCTCTCTTCCCAAAGGCGCTCTGTTAGCTCAGTTGGCATCAAGCTGGACTATGGAGCAGATGACCCAGTTCGCCTCCCTGACTTGGTGTTCTTGAACGTAGGTCGTTTTATGATGTTTTTAAGGCTCTCGAGCCATTCGGCTTGGTCCTGTCGGAGACGGAGGCTAGATTTGGAGGTCCCACCTCTAAGTCCACGCGTCCAACAAAATAAGATCATTTCCAGGCCATGCTACTGTACGAAGTTTTTGCGTGGTGTAGAAGCGACTCAAAAAGATCCGCGTCCACCGGCGTCAGACCAGCTAAACTTATTTTTAGCCTAGTGTGTTATGATTACGAGAACAAACAGACAGCAGAGGCGATTTATTTATTTATTTACAACTTTAAAAAAACTAAAAAGCAACAAATTATAATTATGGGAAAAATTGTTGGTAAGTTAGGAGGTTGAGAAGAAGAAGAAAAAAAAAAGGTGGGACTGGGATTCGAACCCACGCTCACAAAAATAATGTTTGCCTTCAAACGCAGACACACTGTTCACTCGACCATCAAAACTTTCATCAGCGAAGATTTCTAGGTTAAGTGCTTTAATTTGATTTTTTTTGCTGTTTTTTTCAGCACAAATCTGCTATTGTACAACATATTATAATGATATACAACTTTATTGATCATGTAAAGTACAATGAAGAAGTAAAAATGTACTTAAAGATGCAAATTTCCTTCCAAAATGAGTCGAATCGAGGCTTTCTTAGTCCCCTGTACGACTGACGAAAAAGCGTGCATGCAAGAAAATCGCGTAGTCAGGCAAAGGCAGTCAATGACTGACAAAAACAAGCTCATTTGCATGTGAGCTTGGCCTGCAAGTGACGAAAAAGCGCAGTGGACGCGGGGCCTTATATAAGCAAATAGTGTTGAAAGGGGCATTAAACCCATACACTTACACATTTCTTTCTCTCCCCCCCTCTTTTCCCTCTCCAGCCAAGTGTGTGAACAAAACCCTGAAGAGCGACAACTACGCCTACCTTTCTGAGCAAGTGCCCGGAGCCTGCTACGTCTCTTCCATGGAGGTGAAGGGCAGAGATAGACCTCCTTGCGTGGCTGGTGTCAACTACGGTTTTACTGGACCGTACGTCTGG